CAAATTTCCCTAGCAAAGGGCCCTTTTTAAGAGACGCGTGATTGGAAGAACATGCAAGTTGACAAGTGAAGTGTTCCCGACAAGAACGTGACAGATAGGATTGTAAAGCCGAAGCTCACGGAAAGATACGCGGATTGACATATGGTGCCAAACCCAAACCCAAACCCCAAACTCCCTTTAATCTTTGCAAAACCCGGATGTCTGATTTTCTGTTTCGTTGCTTACCATCATGCTCCTTTCAAGTTTTATCAGCCGTCCGATTTCAAAGAAATCAGGCCGGAAATAGATTAATTCCCTGATCTCTCTATAGAAACAAGTACTATGACTCAATATATTCAATAAAATAATTAATAAAATACCTGACCATAGAATATTATTATCTCCGACGTTTTCTCAAGTGCAGTAATGGAAACAAGAGGTTGAATCCAAATTCCATCACAATCCATCAGAAGCTTTTGCTCCTAACTTTTCTTACACGACCCAAAATTTGACACCCAGAATTAATATCCCAAAAAAAGAAAAAAATAAAGCCAAAATGTTTGAAGCTGTTTATCAGAGCACATTAACACCATTTTTCTTTTGACCTTTGATGTAACAATATAATGAATTTATTGAAAACTGTATATTTTTTCAAGTTTGATAATTCTGTAATAATCTCAAGATTGGGCAATTAAATTTTGTTCAGGTGAGATAGTTTTGAATTAATTCAATTCAACGGCAATGGGTCAAAAGACAACAGTACATGGCACATGCACGATTTCCTTGCATGTTTGCTGGGAAGCCAAGTTAGCAACTTCAACGGCAAAACAAAGCTTATCAGCAGCATCGATTACACTCTCACGGTCACAGCCAACAAACTGCGGAAGCTGCAAAGATCTAAAACGTGGATATATATCTAAAGTGAGATTTTCAGCTTTCGCTGCCATTTCCAATGCTAAAATGGAGTAACTTTCATGTGGCTATTATAGCAGTAAAGTTGGTTTGGTGGTGTACGGTTCAAGTTGCTGCTGAACAGGAGAATAATTTGATCAATCTAGTAAAATCTTCACTGACAGTAAAGCCAAAGGATAATCCACATGTTGTTATTTGTCCATTTCAGCTTTGATTTAAAAATAACCCATCACGTTTTGTAGCCATTCACTTAAATTCAGAGTTGATGTTTGCCTTGCAAATAGTATGGGGCCATTGAAGAGATGGTAAATTAAATTCATATACCTTCAGTCAAGTTAGTGGTTGACTCAGTAAATGCTACTGATAGTAGAAATATTGAATTAATTACAGATCTGAATTGTTAGTATGTGTCAGCTTCAGATCAATGATGCATTTTTAGTGTTTCTAACCATATCATCTTGGATTATGCAAAGAGAAATGGTTGTAAGAATCCTAAAATATAATGATTTCAAATAACTCAAATAATACATATAAAATCTTTGCTTTAAATTTGCATTGTTTTACAGGATTTTCCTCTAGATCATTTAGCTCATGCAATTTTTTATATTAAATTATTTTTTAATATATAAATATCGCTGCTTAAAAATAAAAAAAAAATTACAAAATTTAAAATTATTGAATATCATTTTTTAAAAAAATAATTGCATCTATCAACTTAAATACACGAACCAACTCTTATATTAAAATATTATATATAATGTATGAAGAGAAAATGTTTAAAGATGGTTGGAGGTGATTTTTGGGTTAGCTCTGGCTATACGCCTACAGCCCTGTACCTAAAAGCCACAACAAAGGAGGAGAAAGGAAAAGATGATATTGATGAGGCACACATGTTTCATCCTAATAAAATTGACCGCTACATTTATTTTGCTTTGCCGAATAGTAGTTAGACTTAGATATCACCTAATTTGTCTCATAATTTACAGATTGTAAAACCTTTCAGTCCAACGGATCCATGGACCCATTCTAGATTTGCATTCAATTCTATTGAACAAACAAGAGAACCACAATAAATTGTATCCTGTTGTTACTAAAATTATTATAAATTTTGGGTGACAAAATATTTCAAAACTTCCTGCATTACTTCATGTTATCATAATCATGACGAATTTGATACCATGGACAGCTATAACAAAAAGTGTATTTTCATAAGATTGGGATTTTATCTCTAGATATGTTTTAGATTTTGGTCTTTTTTTGTAAAATAATTTTAAAAAATGTGTGTTTTAATCCGGATGTATTGTTTTAACTTTCAAGTTAGATGTTAGTAGCTTCTTTTTTTCTTTTTTTTTTTAACCTAATTAACGATATACAATGAACCCAATTCCTATTATTTTTGTCACTTTAGTGACATTGTTGTTAGATTCACGGGACTGACCTCCTGGGTGTGTTTGCCAAAATGGAAATCTTTTAAAGGATGAAGAAATTGGAAAGAAGAAATGAACCCCAAAAATCAATTTAGTCTTCAACATACATAATTAGTTACCCCTTCTTCCCAAATCCTTTAGCTGCTATCTATAGCAAACCCCCCCCCCCTTTCTTTGATGCAAGGTCCTATATTTTCATAACACGTAGCCTGTTTGGTGGTAGACCCAATTTTAAGGGGCATAAAACGTCACAGCAAATGATGGAAAAAAATTTTCATCAAGGGGAAAGTTGTAAACAATTCTTACTTCCCATAAAAAACCAAGTAAAGACAAAATATTAATAGGAAAAGAAAGGATGCGTAAATCCGTCATTAGTGTTATGTTTTGTTGTTTTTTTGTTTATTGGAAGGAAGTAGATAAGATTTTATTGGTGCGTGGCTTCCCAATGGTGATGTTACCTTTTTAAGAGAAAACAAAAACGATATTGTGGTCACTTTAAAAAAAAAAAAAAAAGAAAGAAAGAAAGAAAAATCGAGACCCTTTGGTTATTTTTTTTTTTTTTTCATCTCTCCGAATCCGAGTCCCTTGGTTCTGTTGGGGCTATGTGGTTCATGGTCACCGGGGGCAGATTTGCAATCAAGATTCAAGACAAAAGATGCCCATTTTTCATATTCTTGTTTTAATTCTATCTAGCATATTTGAAATTCTTATGCCATTTGAAAAAAAAAAAATGTTTAAAGTATAAAGCAACAGATGTAAGAATTTTTAGTTAAGATAATTCACTATTAAATCAAGTAGTTATAACTAATTAATCAATATTAAGCATTAGCTTAGATGACACATGTGCTAGACAGGCTCTTGAAATTAAATTATTCAACAAGACTTTAAATGCATAATGTCCTCATGATAAAGGATTTAAATTAGATTAAGAAATTTTTAAAAAATCAATATTGACCATAAACGTTTAAATTAGTAATAAGTTAAGGTCAAACTCATATTTTGTGGAACCATCATGATTTACTAGCATTCTCACATGAAATCCTTGATTGCTATGTACTATGCATCCACCCTTGAACTTGATGCTCATGTAAAAGTACCTTACAAAGCTAGATATTAAAGAATTAACTCCTATTGTAACGAATTTGTCCTAATACAAAATAATCCAAATTTCTTGACATATATCTTCTGAAAGAAAAAAAAAAAAAAAAAAAAAAGATAACGAGGCCTGCTTGCATGTTTTGTTTCATATCAGAGGCTAATGATTGAACTGAATTAAGTTGATTAGAAAGTTCATAGAAGATGTTGTGGTCCTCCTGAAATCCTGACATGCAACGACTAGATAGATTTATATGACTTGGCAGCATGGGCATCTTTCCCGACGAAAAACAAATTAAAAAAAAAAAATTCAAAGAACCGGCAGCAAATCAGCATCTCTACTGATCTAACATACAAAGATTTCGTGTTAAAATCAAGCCTATCAACGTAGCTAAAAAAAAAATTATAAAATCCCTCATTTAAAAAAAAATCATGAAAAAAAAAAAGGCTTAGAAGAAAAGGAAAAGGGCTTCATAGAAATCTCGTGTTACCGTTTCCACCATGTGAAAGTGTGAACAATCCCCAACCTTACACGACCGAAAGCCCTTTTTTAAGAGACCTTCCCCATTTGCAGCTTTTTGACAATGAGTTTACGTGAAGGGGTAACTTTGGCATTGCGGTGCCAGTATGTCGATGCTCCACCACTCTTGGTAGGAGACACTAGACACACCAAATCATCAGCTCAGCTCCACCAATTGCACGCGCTTTGCTCCTTCACTAATCATCACTTCATGACTAATTCACTAGAAATGAGTCCCTACGAATTTTCATATTTCTCTCCTCTCTATCTCCTTGTCCATTTAGTAGTAGATTCGTACGAGTATATACTTCTATATATTTTTGCTTTAAACGCTATATATTAAATATTATTACTAACTAACAACTGTATAATTTTTTTATAAAATGTTAAGCTTTTAATTTCATTGGTTCAATTTTTATAATCTTAAATATCTCCAAAAAATTACTACTACCATTATAAATTTACTTTGGTTAATTCCAATTTTTACTTGGTTAATATGGCTACTGTAAAAGCAAAATAAGTTCATTAAAAATTTCAACTAAAAATTGTGACCATTAAATCTTATATTAATAGCTAATAAGACTATTGGTTTATATATCAATGATAAGGGTTTTTTAAACTCTACATATAAAATTTATTAAATATTTTCACTACGTGTTAATTTAATTATTAATAAATAAATTTTAATAAAATATGTATAAAATAATTTTGTTAAATAAAGTATAACTCCAATGTAAAGTTGCTTTTTTCACTAAAAACTTTATTAATTATAAATAAATATTATGTACTGCCATTATTTGCTGTTTTTGCCAAACTTGCTACATGATCACGACAAAAATGATTGAACCTAACAAAGGGTTTTGTCGTAAAAATCCAATCGCCATCGCAATCCTTACACAAACGAGTGGCATGTAAGCTATATGTTCCCGCAATAGCATGCTTTAAAGTTTGACAAATGGCATCACACATTTTTGGTATGGGCATTCCTGTAATTTTACTTATCGTTTTAATGTCTGAATGCATATATAAATGCCTATGACTCACTCGTAGCCAACGGTTTTAATGTAATGGATCAACAACCATACACTGAAGATGGCTTGAACACCTCCACCTCCACCATCACCACCACCACCACCACCAAAACCCACTCGAAACACGACTCCAAAGGAGGCGGCACTCGCCATCCTAACTACCGGGGTGTCCGAAAAAGGCGGTGGGGCAAATGGGTGTCGGAAATCAGAGAGCCACGCAAAAAGTCACGCATTTGGCTAGGCTCATTTCCCAAGCCTGAAATGGCCGCTAAAGCCTACGACGTAGCGGCGTTTTGCTTACGAGGACGTAAAGCACAACTAAATTTTCCCGATGATGTGGAAGATTTACCTAGACCGTCAACTTGTACGGCTAGAGATATTCAAGCTGCAGCAGCAAAGGCGGCGCATTCAGTGGTTTCGTCGAAAAAAAGTCAAGTATCATCCAAGGGCGGGGATGGCCATGGTGGTGACGATTTTTGGGGCGAAATTGAACTGCCAGAATTGATGAATAATGGCTGCCAATGGTATTCTCGTGGTTGGACATTCGCCGGTGATTCGTCGTGGCTGGAAGGAGAGGCTCAGCAGCAGCAACAGTTCTTGGCTTGTCTCTGATGTGTATGGATAGTTGCGTTGTTCAACAAAAAAAAAAAATTCATAAATGTTTCACCAACCTCTTCTCTTTGCTCTTTATGTACTTGTTTTGGCGGTATACCATATGCTTTAAGTTTTGGGTATGGCAGCCATTTGGTAGGGTAAGGTGCAATGTTCCAAAATAATTCACCGTTCCTTCAATCTTTAGCTCAGATTTTCAGAATTTTTATTATGTTAGAACTTAGAAGAGGAAGAAGCTGATTACTTTTTTTTTTTTAATTTCTTCCCCTTAATTTTCAACTTAATTATAAAAGGATTAAGTGAATTAATTGGGTACATGGAATTTGGGGGACATTCTGTATGTAACTAAGACTAGCCTGTCAATAAAGTGGTCTTTTGCTCCATTCAATTTGACATTAAAAGGAGTTTTTAAGAAATTTAAGTCCTCTCTATGACCAAAATGATTTTTGGAATTTATTTACAATAATTTTTAAAAAATTAAATGGTAATTTGCATCGGTTGTTTTTACTAATTCATTATTATGAGCCCTATGGGTCTTTTTTAAATTTCAAGGGAATGTTTGTGGCTCAAAAGAGTCTTATATACATATATATATTAGGGGTTGTCTTAAGCAGTTTGGGGTAAAATTAACACTGTGACACCAATAACTAAACTTCACATTTTGATTTTTTTTATAGGATATGTCATAATCTAAAAATAAAAAAAAATTAAATCCCAATATTTTCTCTTAAATATCAAATTATTGTCACTGGATATTAAAAAAAAATTATTAAATAAAATATGATGAGTATCCTACCCTTGGTTAAAAAGTACGTAAATCTTCTAGTGGCTAAAAAGTAATATTTGACTTGGTCCGTTAGCTCTCTCCTTCAAATAATAGTAGTAACTTGAAAGCATGCATTTGCAACCCAATCAAAACCTATCAAATTATTGGTAATTAATCAAGTTCCCCTTATACTGAAACAAATGTAATTTTATGGTGCCTCAAAAAAATTTTCAATCTAATGGGTAATTGACATATATATATATATATATATATATTTATTTAAAACCTCTGAGTCTGCAGGCAAACCTTGGTTTCTATTTCACTTCAATGTCACCTGAACAAGTGTGATATCCATGTTGGTATTACATTTATACATCCAACAATACAACAGACCCATTCGTTTTGAAACTATAAGAGGCTATTAAAAATCATAATACAAGATAAAAATATCACTTTACATATTCTTTTAAAAGAATAATGATGGGAAGTTTTTTACTTAAAAAATAATAAAATGATTTCGAGTTCGAATCTTGTCTATTCACACATTGTATAAATAGGAAAAAATGTTTCTAAACAAATTTCAAAATCAGAACACCTTATTTGTGAAACATACAAAAGTTTTGAAATGATATGTTTTGGAATTTTTTGAGATGATGAAAAGGAATAGGAAATAATACAGATCCACACATCGATCTTATTAAGGATAATTAAAAGATTTTTACTTTTATTTTTATTTTTTGAACGATCGTGCTCGGGTAAAGTGACAGATTTGGACACAGGATATGCAAAATTGGCAACGTGAAGAAAATTGAAAACGTTGTAGAATTTAGTGCCAGGTATGTGTTGATGGGTCTGAAAAATGATGCTGCCCCCTTAGGTATTGCCAAGAACTTAACCATCACGGTGCGATCATTTGATTAGCTGAAAACCCAAAGAGACGAGATCAAGATTAATTGTATTGTCAAATCTCTACTCAAACTTGTACAAATCAAATTTTCTTTATTATCTATCATTCAGGGAAACTCAGGTGCCCTGGAAAGCTCCCGATATGTTTAAGAGTATTAATGAACTTAGAAATCTATATCACCATAGGGGAAGTCTTAATCATCGGCTAGCTATGGGGGATAAACTTTTCTATTGAAACTTTAAACAGATTCAAAATTCAAAATTACATTCATATTAATCCTTTTTTTTTTTTTTTGTTGCGCTCAACAAGGTTGAAAGCTTGAACCTTTCCAATATTAAACTAATCTTTTTGGTATATATAAGTGAGTGCGACAGGCAATTAAAGAAAAAGGACACTGCAATAACAGAATAGTTTTGAAAAACAGGCTTGTTTGTTATCATTTCACAAGAGGGTTTAGAAAAGCCAAACCAACATCTATCACAAGAGCTTAAATAAATGTTGTACTTTTAACTTTACTAAGCTCGGGATTGGTGAGCCTATACTAATCACAGGATTGGCACTCCTATATACATTTGAATGTGGGTGAAACTGTTAAAAGTGGCTGGAACTGTAAGAAAAACTTGAAAACCTTTTTGAAACTATGTTTTGGTAAGGTTGTAAAGGAATATTCGATTGGACCACCGGGAACGAGGGGGCCAACCAACGTTGAAATATTGAATTATTGGCTCTATACATGTCGCCCTGTGCGGCTGTGCTTTGAAAATTTTTCACATTGCTGCTATCACTTTCATGGGCGGCTTTCGAGTTTTCTATAGTTCCAGCATGAATATACTGCAACTACCCCACCATTATATGAAACATCATCTAATCACACTGCTACCACTACATGCCTCTTTTTTTGGTCAGTTACAAGTTAGAACAATTATTTTTGGAACAATGAAATTTGAAAATGTAAACCCTAGTTAATCAAGATAGATAGAAGAATTAAAAAACAAATTAAACTTGTGTTAAAGATTAAATTATGTTTAATTTTTATCCTTCACTAAACATGCAATCAATTTAAGTTCCTAGGGAAGTATGTATTAATCTATATAGTATATATATGTTTACATAATGTTTTACTAATTTTTTTTTTATTTAGAAGGGAAGGAAAATTATCAACCAATTGTAGATTACGGATTGAAAAGAATTTATGTACGTAATTTTTTTTTCAATCAAATAAATATTAAGATAAAAAAATTCAAAGATGATTAAAAATTAAAAAAATATATTACTTCCCCTTTTTCACAAAAAAAAGGGAGAGAAACTATTAGGGCCTACCTTGTAGAATCTGCCGCACCAGTATAAGGGCAAAATCCAAAAAAAAGAACTTTTAATCCAAGGATATTCTCAATGTAGTATGTACTGAGAAAAAGGGTCGAGGTGCTGCAGTGATGACAGAACTCCCGTATCTAGTTGTTCTCAAAATTTAAACCCACGACAATTTCTGGAAAGCTCTCATAACTAACCTCCAATCCCCACATGTCAGATTGCCATTCTAACAACGTTTTTCTTTTTTCTTTTTTTTTTTTTTATAGAAATCATATTCAATGTTGTATTCTTTTATAAGGTTTGGATAATCTGTATTGTTTTGTACATTTTTGTTTGTCACTCGTACAATTTAATGTTTCTTACAGTTTTTCTTTTAATGCTGTTGTTGCACTTATGCACTGAACTTTTATTTATGTAGGTGCTATGTGTTTTTTCCCTGAGAATTTTTAAAAGAAGTTCTAATAACGGGGGAGAAAAACTGATGAAAACGATAAGAAGATGATTGTGTTTTGAAAAGGATAAGATACAAGTGCATGTAAATAATTCAAGGGATTGAGAGGGAGCTGGAATGATGTTTGGGGTCTGCGAAAGCATGTGAAGAAGACATAAAACAACTAGTGGAAGGTAGGAGGTCAAAAAATTAATGGATTTGTTGGGTTCCTACAATTTAAATTACTTAACAGAACTTTTTTTCCAAGAAGTCGTAATTTGGAGAAAGGAGAAAGAGTTATATATGCTAAAATTTAAATTCTAGACTTATTAGATATCATTTCTATTCGTAAGTAAGTATAATTTTTCATTATGGAAAATTAATGGGAAAACAATTACTCATAAATGTTTCTTTATGAAAAAGATAAGAATCTCTTTCATTTTCTACTTCTGAGATATTCCTTTAACATTCCGGGACCCCTCCCTTTGCGAAGCGGTTGGAATAACACTAAATACTTTCATACCAAAAGGGACAGTTGGGCTTAAATAATTTTGTCCGTCTTCGAGGAAGAAGGCTTTGTTCTGTGTACATATCTACCATTGAAATACTTGATTGGTTAAATATGGCTAAGGTAGCCAACCCTATACTCGCCTCCATTCATGCCAGCATAGGGTCTCATCCACAAGTTATAGCCTCAATGGAGCCAGGAGAAAGGATGAAGATAAGATACAAATCACAAAATTACAGCCCCAATTTCCACTCCAAAAACTATAATTGAGAAAAATAACTTCTACTCTATTTGACTCTAACTATGGTTCATTAGTTAAAATTTTCATCTTCTTTGATATGTTTTAGTATGGAGATAAAAAAAACAGCTAAAATTTAAATTTATAAGGACATTTATTAGAAATTTAAATTACATTAATTTTTTTTTTTGATAACGCAATTATTTATTATTTTTAACAAAATATTTTCTTGTATGCTTTAATAATATTGTCCCCATTTTATATAAAGGAGAAAAAAGACAAACATTCCTACATTATTTGAACATAAATTTTATTAAAACTATATAACTCAATGAAATTATTCTATTGTATTCATGTTAAGCCACCTTGTCCCTCAGTCATCCTTCATCCATGTCTTCTTCTACTCCACTGCTGAAGCTATATCTGAAATCATCCAATCCGAGGCAGCTAGGACAGCCCAAAACAATTCCAATATCTAATCTTTTTAAATTGGCTAAGAGTGAACAAGGCCTTGTTTTACACATCACATATGAGTTCACCAATTACCTTAGAACAAAGCTAAACACATGGTTTTAATTTTTTTAAAAAATTTCTGTATGATTAAAAGTATTAATTTTTATTTTTATTATCTATAATAATACATACAAAGCTTTTAATTTAATTTGGTGTCACGAGTCAATGACATAAATTTAGTTGATAAATTGAAAAAAAAAACTAAATTAAAAAATAAAAAATGCACTATTAATAACAGCTGTCACTTAGATATTAGCCAACAGTTACAGTAATAATTTATATATTTTTTAATGTATTGTTTATTGATATTGATGATTCGGTGAAGCCAATAATTTTAGGATTATGGATTTGGACCGTCTAAAGTATGGTGAGTTGAGCATTTGAAATTTGGGTCATCTATGCCACTTTTGGTAAAGGCCCAACTATCATCTTATTCAAAAACCCAATTCCATACCCTGCGTGCTCTAATTCTCATCCATAAACTTTCGCATACCATAATCACTGTCTACAGTCCCTCCCCTTTCCCTCTTTTAAAATCCCCAAAATTTCCCTCTTTCATTCATTAACCCTCACTGTCTCGCTGGTCGCTGCTGCTCTCTCCGTTAAACTACGTTTCTCTTTGTCTACTTGTATGTATTTCTGAACCCTAGAATTCTTTCTCGAAACTTCTAGAAATCTCATTTCTTGAATAACGTTTATACTCAAGCGATCTCAGATAATTCTTTTTTTTTTTTAATTTGATAATGGAGTGGAATCCCGAAACCCTTCAATTCCTCTCACAATGCTTCCTCCACACGCTCTCTTCCCAGCCGGAACCCCGGCGCGCCGCCGAGTCCTCGCTATCAGAAGCCGCCGATCGTCCAAACTACGGGCTCGCTGTGCTCCGTCTCGTGGCGGAACCTTCGGTCGACGAGCAGATCCGTCAAGCGGCTGCTGTTAACTTTAAGAACCACCTCCGAACCCGTTGGGTTCCTTCTAACGATCCCAACACCGGCCCCACATTCTCACCTATTCTCGACCCCGAAAAGGACCAGATCAAAAACCTAATCGTCTCTCTCATGCTATCGTCTACTCCTCGCATTCAAAGCCAGCTCAGCGAAGCCCTAGCTGTTATCGGCAAGCACGACTTCCCGAAATCGTGGCCAACCCTGCTTCCAGAGCTGGTCTCCAATCTTCAAAAGGCTGCCCAATCCGCAGATTATGCTTCCATTAACGGTATTCTCGGAACTGGTAATTCAATTTTTAAGAAATTTAGGTATCAGTATAAAACAAACGACCTTCTGCTTGATTTAAAGTATTGTTTGGATACTTTCGCGGGTCCATTATTAGAGATTTTTCTTAAAACTGCTTCGTTAATCGACTCAACCGCTGCTTCTCCTGGCGGTGGTTCCCCTGTGACTCTCCGGCCTCTCTTTGAATCTCAGAGGTTATGTTGTAGGATATTTTATTCATTGAACTTTCAAGAATTGCCTGAATTCTTTGAGGATCATATGAGAGAGTGGATGGGTGAGTTTAGGAAGTATTTGACCACGAACTACTCTTCCCTTGAGAGTAGCGCAGATGGGCTAGCATTGGTTGATGAACTTAGGGCTGCAGTATGTGAAAATATTAGTCTTTACATGGAAAAGAATGAGGAGGAGTTTCAAGGTTATTTAAATGATTTTGCGTCAGCTGTTTGGAGTTTGCTTACAAATGTATCTCAGTCTTCAAGCAGGGACAAACTGGCTGTTACAGCAATGAAGTTTTTAACCACGGTTAGTACAAGTGTGCATCATGCTTTGTTTGCAAATGAGGGAGTTATACTGCAGATTTGTCAGAGTATTGTGATTCCAAATGTGCGGTTGAGGGATGAGGATGAGGAGCTTTTTGAGATGAACTACGTTGAGTTCATAAGGAGGGATATGGAGGGGAGTGATCTTGATACAAGGAGAAGGATCGCTTGTGAACTGCTTAAAGGAATTGCAACTAATTATAAGAAGCAGGTGACTGATATTGTCTCTATTCAGATACAAAATTTGTTGAGCTCCTTTGCTACAAACCCTTCTGCTAATTGGAAGGACAAGGACTGTGCTATATATTTAGTTGTCTCTCTTGCAACGAAAAAGGCTGGGGGTACTTCTGTTTCAACTGATCTTGTGGATGTTCAGACCTTCTTCACATCAGTTATCATCCCCGAGTTGCAAAGCCAAGATGTTAATGGGTTTCCAATGCTTAAGGCAGGTGCTCTTAAATTTTTCACTATGTTTCGTGGTCAGATACAAAAACCTGTTGCATTTCAGTTGTTCCCAGATTTGGTTCGATATTTGGGTGCAGAATCAAATGTGGTTCATTCTTATACTGCAAGTTGTATAGAAAAACTCTTGCTTGTCAAGGATGAAGGGGGAAAAGCTAGATATACTTCGGCAGATATAACTCCTTGTGTGCCAGTGCTGATGAACAACCTTTTTAATGCATTGAAGTTTCCAGAGTCTGAGGAGAATCAATATGTAATGAAGTGTATAATGCGTGTTCTTGGAATTGCAGACATTTCCCGTGAGATTGCTGGACCTTGCATTGGTGGGTTAACCTCTATTCTGAATGAAGTTTGCAAAAATCCAAAAAATCCTATTTTTAACCATTATATTTTTGAGTCTGTGGCCATCCTTATCAGACGGGCATGTGAGAGGGATACCTCTCTTGTATCAGCATTTGAAGCAAGCCTTTTTCCCAGTCTCCAAACCATCTTGGCCAATGATGTGACTGAATTCTTACCTTATGCATTCCAGCTATTGGCTCAGCTTGTTGAGCTGAACAAACCTCCCATCTCTCCCAGTTACATGCAGATTTTCGTGCTTCTTCTCTCCCCTGATTCATGGAGGAGAACTTCAAATGTTCCAGCCCTTGTGCGTCTGCTTCAGGCTTTCCTTCAGAAGGCACCACATGAGCTCAATCAAGAGGGGAGACTGAACCAGGTGCTTGGTATATTCAACATGCTTGTCTCATCCCCTAGCACAGATGAACAGGGCTTCTACGTGCTTAACACTGTTATTGAGAATCTTGAATATGGTGTCATATCTCCCTACATGAGTAATATATGGAATGTCCTTTTCATGCGTCTCCAAAACAATCGTACTATAAAGTTTCAGAAGTCTCTTGTGATTTTCATGTCACTCTTTTTAGTCAAGCATGGGGCTAAAAGTTTAGTAGACACAATGAATGCAGTTCAAGCCAACATATTCTTGGTTATCTTGGAGCAGTTTTGGGTTCCCAATCTTAAGCTGATCACTGGAGCAATTGAACTTAAGTTAACGGCAGTTGCTTCAACCAGACTCATCTGTGAATGCCCGGTTCTTTTGGATGCCACAGCTGCTAGGCAGTGGGGCAGAATGCTGGATAGCATTGTTACCCTTCTTTCACGGCCTGAAGAGGACAGAGTCGAGGAAGAACCAGAAATGACAGATATTGCAGAAAATGTGGGATATACAGCCACTTTTGTTAAACTTTACAATGCTGGGAAAAAAGAAGATGATCCCCTGACTGATGTAAAGGATCCAAAGCAATTCTTAGTAGCTTCATTGTCTAAACTTTCTGCACTTACCCCTGGGAGATTCCCCCAGACCATCAATGAAAATCTTGAGCCAGCAAATCAAGCAGCATTACTTCAGCTTTGCGGCACTTATAATTGCACAATAGTTTGAGTAAGTGCTTTCCTGTTTGTTTGTCTTATTATGGTTACTTTGTCTAGCTTATGTAAAGAGTGAATGATGGTTTAGATGTGGGATTGTGGTGGGGCAGGTAGGAGTGAGCAATTGGTCGGTTCGGTTGATTTGGTTTGAAAAAATTGATAATCGAATTAGTCGACTTTCATTTAACAAATAACTGAACCGACCGAAAATTTTTAAATAACCGACCATAACCGAATCGACTAAAATTGGTTCAGTTAGATAACCGAACTTTTCATCATTTTTCCTCCTATTATGAACGATTATTTAGTCCCAAATTCAATCCAATAAAACTTAAACGCAAGTATTATTCAAACTAAATTACTAAAGAATTTAATAATTTCAACTATATTTTACAAGAAAAAAATAAATAAAAGTACTCATCTCAAATTTTTTACCTTTACTTATTAGAAAGTCAGTTAATTTAGTCGATTTGGTTATTAGTTTTAAGAACCGAAAACCAACCAAATTAATCAATTTAACCAATAAAAAAAACCAATTATAACTAAAATTGAATCAATCGAATTTACTTGATTTTGGTCGGTTTAGTAAGTTAAAACCGACTTTTGCTCACCCCTAGGGACAGGGCTTCTTCTTGTTATTATACTCTTTTAACACTGAATTAGTATCCTGTGACACCAGGATTAACAATTTTTGCTGAACTGAAGTTAGAATCAAAGTGGATTATAGATGTATGGATGAATATCCTTACCTTATCAAACCTATGGTTCACAGGTTTTGGAGAGAAAGTCGTTTCACTCCATGGTGGGAGTATGAGGAGGTATTATCGTAGTTTACATTTTGAATTCATACTTTAGTTTGAAATCGTCAGATCTGGTTTGTTTAAATATGAGTTTGGAGTGCTATTGTGATCCTTATTTTTAGCAAGAATCTCATGCATATGCCAAAGCGTGTGGTGCTTTTTATCTAAACTTCCAACTGCTGGATGTTTTGACCTTCTGAAAGCTACCAAATAGTCTCTCCCTAATTGTGATTTTTGTGCTCACTATCTGGAATCATGTAAGGGTGAGTTAATAATTGTGCTCAGTTACTCATTAAAGCACTTGATTATCTCTTTATGCTTCTGGATTCCGTTTTTCTTTTGCACTCTATTCCACTGCAGATTTATATCTGCTACTTGTCCAAAGAAAATGAATTACTTATATTTTATGTTTAGATTGGGGGTGTGCCTTCTCACGGTTTGATTTTATTGCTAGATTGCTGGGTTTCCGATTCTTCTCTATTTCGGTGGTTGAAGTTCAGTGCATTACCTTGAGCATGCATTTGTGAGCAATGGATGCTTTTTTTAAGCAAGTTGAAGGATCGAATCTGCTGGTGGGTGCTAGATTTTGCAGTTGTGGTCGCTCACTGAGTTGGTGGATGGTTGTTCTAATGGTTGAGTTCGAATGAGCCCCTTTTTTTCCTTTGGTTTTGTTGTCGTCATTTATGGATTTTGTTTGGCATGCATCTGTCCCCAACTTGTAGATCTGTTGTGTTATGGTGAAAAGAGTTGTAGCGTAGAAGGTTACCTTCATATTTCCTGCCTTCTTTTATTGTTTCTTTTGAAAATTTTGGAAAGGGTTGTGAGAAAGAAAGAAGCTGGAGGAATCCTTTTAGTAATTGACACTGAATTTTTGCTTGAAATTCTCACTCATGAGTGATTATTATTGCATTTTCCAAGCTTGAGAGCTGAAAACCATAAGTTTAGCATGTAATGTTGATCTTCTGTTTTTTTGTTTTGGAAACATACGTGTAGCTTTTGGCCGAACTAATTTTGGAAGTCAGTGATCGGTAGGTTATGGTTTGCAAGCGGTTCTCTTCATTCGAGCTTTTTTAGATTGATCCAACATCAAGATTTGGGCATCGTAAGTTTGAAGAAAGTGATTGAACCCTGAACACGACTCAGCCTTTGTTGTAATCACATTCAAATTAGAACTGGATGTTAATCATTAGATCCTTTACTTTGTGTGAAGCAAAGATGAACCATAGGAGATGAAGTGTTTGATTGAGATGGATTGGAAGGGAGTAGGAAGATGACTTTACGAAACGAGGAGGGTCGTCAATTTGTCATTTATCCCCCACACTTTCTTAGTCATGTATATAGGTAAGATCCACTTAACATTAATGTAATTTTTATATTTTTTTATTTTAGATCAAAATTATTATTTTGATTCAAATTATTTAAAAGTTTCATTTTGATTCAAAAAATTTTTAAAATATAAAATAACACTAGTGTAAGTGAATTGTTTCTCATTTATTTATATATTATACATATATAATACTATTGTAACCATAGTGATTTTAAAGAATAACAATAATACTATCAAAACTTGGGTGTGGCTTTGTGTAAATATATCCTATGCTGTAGTCATGCGTATGAAAGCTACACGTAGGGGTCTGAATCAATCATTAATTTAATTCTAATAATGATAATTTATTAAAAGCCAAAAATCCGACCTGGAAAAACATATTTAGTGTGAGTGATTAAACCAAAACTTTTTGTCATTAAAAACCAAAGCACAGCCACCAACCCATTTACATCCAAACAGATGCTATATGTACTCCATTTCTATTTTGCCCCCACGCTACCCATTACATTAAAGATTTTGGTATATTGTTTATTCTACTAAAAGAAATGGACCCCACTCTCTTATAATCCTCATGTATACTACTGTTTTATTTCTCTTTCCTTGGTTTTTGGTTTTTGAAACGTATGAGATTTCTTCAATCCGCACCTCAAATTCACGCAGATCCACGCCACGTCTTCGCCCATTCATATATTAAAAGCTCATAGTAAATAAATAAAATAAATAAATACCCATAAATTATAAAATCATCATGTAGTTTGATCCACCCGATGCTTCCTGTGGTACAGCTTTTGACTTTTTTTTTTCTTTTTTAATTCGCCTGCCTAGCTGACCTCCACTACAACATTTCTTTTTTCACTATTTTGTTTGGTGATTAAATAATGCTAAGGCTACGGTTCTTTAATTTTTATTAATTGTTTATTTATACAATTAAAGACCTTTACATTCCTAAATATAAAAGATGATGATGTTTTTCTTTGACCCCGCCATCATCTGCCCTCCTACGTTGCTCATCTCATCCCTCCATTTCTACTCGTTATAATTAATTATCCTTTTTTTTCGTTACTACCAAGTGATTTTTGGGAATTTTTTATTCAGAAATTGATTTTAGTATATTTTTAAATGAATAGTCCAAAATTTTAGTAATATACGTTTTGATCCAAAATTTTTTTAATTTTATGATTTAATTAAAAATGTTGACTTCTTTGCTTAAAGGAGAGAATATAAATCCACGTAATATACCCTAAAAATCTAAGAACAAATTATTTCGTAATATTTGATGGAACATTACAATAAAACCTCTATCTCTTCTTTTCTTACGTATTTTTATGTACACTGTAATCAAATTTAAGACTTTTTTCAATAATGCCTATGGATCCGACAACCCTAAAATTAATAATAATATTTAAAGTGATAATGATGAAGGAAGACAAATAATATTATCCAACCAAAAAAAAATGAGCATCAAAGGAAAAAAAATAGGAATTAAAATGTTTGATTTATTTGCCAAAAATGTGCAAACGTGCTTGGGGTTTATAAATAAACAAAAGAAAATCAAAGGGAAATGGAACCCCTCATGAATATTATCAACTCGGCACCTTCCAAATTGAGATTTTAAAAAGCCTTTTTTTTTCGTCTCGGTCGTGAAAAGGTGAAATGACTTGCGTTGGAGGGCCTCGTTTCTGAAAAGAATGAAAAAGACAGGACCTCCAATGGATCTCAAGATTCTTGGCTTAGAATTGAATCTGACGGCTCACAAAGTTGTCAAAATGAGTCAAACTGTCTGTCGTTTTTGTACGGACAAAGATAAACCAATATCCCATCTCAGCCCCTTTCTTATGCTGCTTTAAATATTAAAAATAAAAAAAATTAATATCATAAACGATATTAAAAATTATAATATAATATTTTTAATTTTTAATTTTTTAATTTGATACTTAACATATAAATTTATTAATTAATATAATATTTAAAAAATTTTATTTATTATATATAATTAATTGAAACTAATCAAATTAAAAGTAAATATTATATTATTTAAAATATTCATATTTATAATTGATATCATATTAAAATTTTTTAAATTTAAATATCATATTAAATATTTTATTACAATTTAAAAATTATTCATAATATTAATTCATTTATTTTTTGTTACCGTCTAATTCTAAACTCACTACTGTTAATTAGGTAATAAATAAACACAGAGATGCCGGCTGCCCACCAAAAAAGATTTTCTTTTCTCAATTGTTTTAGATTTTGATTTTTTTTTATATAAAAAAAAGTGACTATCAAATAATAAGATAAAGCATGGAGAAGAAAGTCCACTGCAGAAGCAAAACTAAAACCAAACGTCATAAAATCCAGCCGCCCATTGTTTGATTTCACATGTTTTAACATGAACACCACCCTTCAATCTCACCCTTTCTTTATTATATTCCCAAGGCATTAAGATAAAGTTCGCTTTTCTAAGCTCACATTTATAATTAGTGTACCCTACATCAAATATCCTAGAACCATGGAGTTGGTATAATATAAGGGTGGCCAAATTTTTCTTTAGTGCGTGGGGACTGTGGAGCCTCATCTATTAAAGTTTAAGCCACAGGCCAAGGCCAAGGCCAATGCCAATGGCAAAACCGAAGAAACACTAAGGCAAATTGGTTTCCACATGGGGGTGTGCATTCACAAAAAAATTAACTTAGTCCCACACCAATCATCTGTTTCCCATTATTTTTTTTCTCCAAAAAAAAAAAAAATGGGCTTCCATATTGTCTTTAGGTCAACCTCTCTCTCACATTATTATTATTATTTTTTAATGTTTTTAACTTTAACGAGACCCAATGAGAAAGGGAGTGCTTTTTCAAAATAAACCCAAAGTAATGGGAACAAGTTAGGAGATCCTGTCAAGATACCAAAGCACCCCTCCCTTTTTTTTTTTTTAATACACAAAAATTTGTATTCATGGAGGCATTGAATCAAAGAAAGAAGCAAGCACCTTCGAGGATCATTTTCTTCGCATTTGTCATCAAATTATTGATGCCAATATATTATAAATATCTAATTTCTCTTCGACAACTTTGATAGTCATGGATATCTCATCTCTAATCCTAAAGGAATCTGCAAAATCTGATGGACAAGATTATACGGCAAGGTTAGTACAACTTTTTATTTAAAAATCTTACCCCTTCAGAGGTGCCTAGAGGTTTTTTTTTTTTTTTTTGGTTATCAGCTTAATTGAATTACAGCCATCAATAGAGATTTTATTGTAATGTTCCATCAAATATTATGTAAATCAAAGATTTTATTGTAATGTTCCATCAAATATTATCATAAATTTCTATTTTTTTAATTGTTATTATAATACAAATTTTCTTTAATTTATGTTTTGGGGTTTTTTTTTCTTGTTTTATTTAGTCAAAAGAGTTGCTTAATCTTGAAAATATGCAAAGTTGGAATAAAATCTTCATCTCTAGCTTAATCAAAGTTTTGTTCTCCAAACATGCCTTTTCTCCTTCACTTTCGGTTTATTCTTTAAAAAGATTCAAAAAAAAAAAAAATTTACACGATTTAATTTTTCGTTGATTCATTTCATGGTCGAGCAAGGTCTGATGCTCTAAAGTAAACAACAATATTTCGATGCTTAATCAAGATTTGAGCATTTAATTTTGATTAAGTATAAAGGAAGGAAGTGGGTATAGATGGAGAGAGGCTATGGCAATTGATGTTTAACCAAGTTGTTTGTTTTTGTCTATGATTAGTGAAACATATTGGCTGAATAAAACGGTGGTTTGGTGGTTTAATTAACCATAGTTAAGATTATATGATTTGGATTCCACCTCCACCACTAAGCTTTGCTTATTGTATATATTTGCAAAAAATATTCTCATCCGTACTTCCACAAATGATAATTGAATAATGATTTGTCTATTACCGTCGGTTGCTTGAAATGAACGGTCCAACATTATACTTTAAAATTCAATCTTTTTTTTATTTATTTTATCATTAGTAGAGAATATTTATGAAAACATGTGTAAATGTGAAGACGTATCTATACACCTTATTAAGTTACATTGCTTCAATAAAAAGATTGCAAGATTACGAGCGAAAGTGTAATATTCCATCAGCTAAAATTAAGTGCTAATCAGAAGCAGCTTGAATGATAAGAGTATGATCAATTTTTTTTTGGCATTTTTCATCAACAATTGGCATTGTTCTTAAATGCTGTGGTGCTGACATCAAGTATATTCGTTTTCAGTGCAATTTATTGCTTAATTAAAGTCATCCTTATTTGTGGGTAGTGGAGCATGCCCCCATCCGATCAGTCAAGATCCTCCTATCCTATGTCTTCCTTTTCAAACATTATATAATTTTGGCCTCCCAATCTCAATTTCAATCACTCTCAACTCTCAAATTCATCCAAGTAATTATCATCCTTCTCTCCCTCACCCTTTTTTTATTTTCTTTAGCACATATTTTTCAACATTCAAGAAATCACTTTGCTCCATCTTGATAAAACCAACTGCTTTTCACACATTATTTATTAATCAAGAAATGTAGCATTCTACCTCTAAAATCAATGTATAAAATAAAAGACAAGAAAAAGATTCATATTATATGCTCCACTTTTTTTCCTAAATTTGTGGAGTACTTACCATGTAATGCAATGGTTGTCAAGTAAGAAATTGCATTGTAATTCAATAAATTTATATAATTATTTTTTAAAAAAATTATTTTTCATATTCTCAAATTATAACTTATTTTGTTAAAAAAAAAAAAAAAGAGAAGATTGTCATTGGTCACTATTTCGAATACAAACGTTTTTCAAATGCATATGTAATCTTCCTTATCACCCAACATGCTTTGAGAAGTAAGCAATATTCCTTGACAATAAAATTCATTATTAAGTTTGTAGTAGTAGGTTTTGGTTCATTTATTTTTAAATGTACTCCTTTAAGATTTTAATCTGCTTTTTTAATAATTAAGGGATCTTTGATTATAAACGATATTATTGGTTGAATTCAAACCATTTAGGTTGGGATAATCTATATTTGATTCTT